ACTGCACATCTTTCAGTAACTCAGAGTTCTTTGGCGTTGAAAAAATGTCCTCCTTTCTACCCACCCGGCACACTGGTATAGAAAAATAGATTAATCAGAGACCTCGTGGTTTTTTTGGTTTGGGGTTTTTTTTTCCTATAGGAAATCAGGTTACCTGAAATGCTAGATTCTGAAATGCTAGATTTCAGAAAACTCTAGCATTGTTTCCAAGAGTTTTGATGAAAATTCAGCTAACATATCGCACTTTTGACAGAATTGCCTGTGTGACACAGTTGCATTCCAAAGTTTTGATTAGTGGCTTTGGTTAGAAAATCTGGGCCCAGCAAGTTCCCCAGCTCAGAATGGTGCTTACAGGATCGGAGCCGGCCTCGTGTGGACTTCTGGTTACAGCTTTGGAGCAGTAGCTTTACGTTAAGAGCTGCTTATATTTCATTGTGCTTTTCCTCTTCCCTCCCCTCTCTCCTTTTAGCACCAGGTTTATGGCATGAAATGCTTTCTTTTTTTTTGCGGTACGCGGGCCTCTCTCTGTTGTGGCCTCTCCCGTTGCGGAGCACAGGCTTGGGACGCACAGGCTCAGCGGCCATGGCTCACGGGCCCAGCCGCTCCGCGGCATGTGGGATCTTCCCGGACCGGGGCACGAAGCCATGTCCCTTGCATCGGCAGACAGACTCTCAACCACTGCGCCACCAGGGAAGCCCGAAATGCTTTCTTAAATGCTGAAATTACATTTTCTGTGGGTGAAAATACACCTCATCACAGTTTCCCCTTTGAAGTTCTTATGTTTCTGTAAAATTGCCTTAGTTAAAAATGTGATCTAAGTAATAAGAGCTTTTGTTTCAAATAAAGACCCATTTTATTGACGAGGTATCAGTATTTGCGGCTGTTAAGCACATTGCAGAGAGCATAATAAAATGTTTATGTTTGATGCTTATCTGTCTTACAGGCTAGAGATATAAATGTAAATGATCTTCTTGATAAGTGGATTATATTAGCAAGGGAGCAGGCAGATTGAGTATCTAGAAAGGATTGTAGGAGTGAGGGTGTGTTTTTTGAGTATCCCCTGCCCTTGAACCCCACCAGCTCCAGGTTCACCTTTGGAAGACCGAGCCCTGGATCTCTTCCGCATCGTGGTGGTTCGTGCTCTGGTCACTGTGGAGCAGAATTCAGCAAACTGGTGATAAAGGGAATAAAAACCTTAATTCTGGCTCCGACCAGTGCCGCCGTGGGGCTGACAAGCAAATTCTCAGGTCAGCCAGACCCCATTCTTAGCCCTGCTAGGTTCTCACGTGACATGAGACCGCATGTGACAGACACCAGCATTAAACTAGTGATGAAGTTAAGGAAGAGCCCCCGGCCCCCCCGGCACCACCAGAAGGAGACATTTTGTTACTTGAGAAATAATCTTTGAAATTTAGGTGGCAAAAATCCACTGTATTAACTGAGATTAAGGCCACCATTTTAAAATATAGGAATAGGATGCCTTTGAAAATATTCAAAATAGAATTTTTATCTTACGATCTTACCTTAAAACCAACACTGTCTGTATTTATGGGCTAGGTTTTATTGCAGGGTGAACGTTGGTCATTAATTTTAGGTTTATTCAAGAAATAAGAACAGTATTTGCTTCTCAAAAAACTCCAGTTCTTGGGGGCTTCCCTGGTGGTGCAGTGGTTGGGAGTCCGCCTGCCGATGCAGGGGACGCGGGTTCGTGCGCCGGTCCGGGAGGATTCCACATGCCGCAGAGCAGCTGGGCCCGTGAGCCGTGGCTGCTGGGCCTGCGCGTCCGGAGCCTGTGCTCCGCGGCGGGAGAGGCCACAACAGTGAGACGCCCACGTACTGCAAAAAAAAAAACTCCAATTCTTAAAGCCAAGTGGTGATAGCTGCTGTGTTAGAGTAGTCTAGACACATCAGTCTCCTTTGCAAACGTTAATTTATAGTGTATGTTACTATTCTATAGAAACTTCAAAAAATATATATACCTAAACACAGTTGCTAGCTCTCTTACTGATCTGTTTTATCAGTTAGTGTATGCTAAGCCTGGTCTAACCAATTATCTTTGGCTAATACAACTCTCCTGACTCCTGAGTGTTCTCCAAAGACACACGTCTGGGCCCCAGAACTGACCCGTGGCTTCTTCCCCCTGCTCAGGATTTCTCAGGGCCTGGTCCGTGGACTGTCTGCACCAGGAGCTTGTAAGAGTACAGCTTCCAGGGCCTCACTGCCAGACCACGGGGATGTGTTTCTCTCTGGGCATTTATTGAAGCTAGCAGTTAGAACTCTTCTTTCTGCAGAAGAAACATCTGCTTATCTTCTTCCCCCCACAAACAGCAGGGCATTTGTCTCTAAGATGAACAAGTTGGATCTGGCCCCCAAGGTTCCACATGTGCTTCTCAGCTGCTGGCCAGGTTGACGCAGTCACTAGGTGCTCATTTTGATGTGCACCGGCTCCAATGGGGGTGCTTCTGGCCGTCAGCCCTCCCGTGAGCCAGACAGAACTTTCTAGACCACATAGGTAAGTGAGGGTGTTAAAGACAATTCAGGAGCCTTCACCTGCAGGTCGGGGGAAGTTAACCGGGGGAGTTAACTTCGTTTTGTGTTATGAGAATATCAGGTATGAGTATCCTTGTCCAGAAGAAGTTTATCATTTAGTTGAAGTTTAGCATTTAATCTGCAGGGATGTGAGCTCGGGGGAGCAGGGCTTGGGCATCTTTGGTTGCTGTACCCAGACCATCTCCTGAGCGGTGTCTGGCTCATGGGCATCCATATTCATTGGGTAAATTAGTGAGTGTCTTGATTTACTAAACCTTGGGTAACTTGCCAACAGTTTTTACCAGTCTGTCATCTTCGTAAAACATGCAGCCTAGATTTCACAGATTTTCTTTGGATAATTGGCATTTCCTGCATTTCTGACTCTAGGATTGAGGGCAGATTTACTCTCTCGAAGAGAGCCAAGTGTAGTGAGAAAGGAGTGGGGCTCTGGAGCCCAGGAGCGGTGGGTGACAGGGGTTCTGAGCGACCACGTGGCATCCTGTGCGCTGGTCTGGTCACTTGTATCTGTGGATACATGCGTCTCCCTGAGCTAACCTTGCAGGTGATGACCACAGTGTTCATTCTAAGAAAAGAGGCTTTTTCTTAGAAAAAGGGGAGTTAACTTTGTAACAACAGCTGCTAAAGTCAGGGAAAGAGCACTTGATTGGCTGATCGTATGAAAAGATAGTAATGATTTGGTACCTGTGATGGACAAAATCCTTAAAGCACTGCAAACCCAGGAGAAGGGAGTGAACTATTACAGACCACTTGGCATCACATACACCCTGAAATTCTGTTTTCTGCCGGTTTAGCTACTTAAACTTTAATTTTAATAGGCTTGTACAGAGTAACGATGGAATTTGTGACAGAGGTACCGCCAAGGCAGTTTTCTGTGTGCTTGGAGGGGTGTTCAGGGGACATGCCTGGCGTATCCCAAAAGTTTCCTGTCATCAGCCTTTGTGCGCTTCACCAGGCGTCCTTGGGGAAATCTCCCCTCTGGCTCGTTGCCAGCACAGATGATTCTGGAGAGGATGCACGTGTGTTCTTTGTTCAGTGCCCCCACACCTGTGCACACGTGCGCACACGCATGCGCGCGCACACACACACACACACACACACACACACACACACACATGATGCCCTGCCTCTCAGCCTTTGTGGGATCATCGTTCATTTCTCTTGGGTGAGGGCCGGGGGGACAGAGAAGTTGGGGCAAGAGATTGAGAAGACTTGGTAGAAACTCAAAAAAGTGTTCACTTTTAAGTGCTTTTGTAGACCTAGGAACCAACAGCACTTTTATTTGTAACGATAAATAAAACTCTTAATACAACATACAAGATTTTTTTTTTTTTACAAAAATACAAAAGAGGAAGCTATATTCATGTTATGGCAAAATCTGATTATGATAGGTGCTTAAATTTTTCGCTGTGGTTAAAACATAACACGTGTGTTTAATTGCCAGTAGAGTGCTCCTTTTAACAGGAAGTTAGCGTAAGCCGCTTGTGAATAGCAGTTGAAATCCAATAATCTCATCTCTTTTCCTGTTACCCGTGTTACCCAGCTGTTCTCTGAGTGTGGAGAACACTTTTCTTCGTGGTACTTGGAGATATCGTCTTCCTGATGCTGGTGGGATCTTTGGACAACTCACAGTTTTGTGCTCCATTTTTGGCCATCACGTGGCTTTGAAATGGGCTCATTAACCGACGGCTGAATGCACTGGGTGTAGATGGGAGTGACAGCTTAATGAAAGGGTGAACCTCCCTCTTTTTTCTCCTTTCAAAAAAATCTTTGCTCTTACACCCAAAACATTTCCTCTCTCCATGTGGTGTTTGCAGACTTGAGCCATCTTTATTGGCTGCATTAATATCGAAACAAAACATGCAATTATGCTTTCATTTGGCCCCTTGGTGGCACTTGTGCAGACTGGCTGTGTATCACTGCACCTCCTTCCATGGAAACAAGCTCATTCAGTTCTCAGGTTTTCACTGACTTTGCTTTGAATACAACCATTTCATGTTCCTCGCTGACGTGTGACATTTTCCTAGGAATTTTACCTTGCCTTAAGATCAAAATATAATAGTTACTTTACGGACAACCTAAATCTTTACACTCTCATATGTTTCGAGGCTATTTCTTGGGCAGCATCCATTGTGCCGTTGTTGTGTTAGTTTGCCTTCTCGAAATGGAAGTATGTAATTCACTGGCCAGGAGATTTTTAAATTTGGCAATTCTGAATCTCCAGTTGTTGTTGAAAATGAAATTACTCTGTATGCCTTATTCATGAACCAGAGTTACGTAGCAGAGCCTGCCACCATAATCTCGAATGCATGATTGTAGCTCTTGAAGTTAGGGAGCGTCCCAAAACATGAAAGCGTGTGTGAGATGGGCTTGCTTCTAGAAACTGACCTTTGGGACTTTCTAAATGATCTATGGAAAACAATGTGATTTTTGTTCTGTTTGTTCTGATGCAGCTTCCATGAGGCAGTCTCAGGCTGTACCTGCAGATATGCGTCCGGAGATATGGATTGCGCAAGAGTTGCGGCGTATTGGAGACGAATTTAATGCATATTACCCAAGGAGGGTAATGATGTTTTCTTTACCCCCTTTCTCCCTCACACCCTACCTCTCCCTGCCATTTAAAAAAAAAAAAAAAAAAGAAAAGAAAAGACTAGTAATAATCCTGTGCTTATTCTGGAAATGAGCGGTATTACCTATGTGTGACCTACCATTCTTCCTCCTTTCCCATTTTCCATTTGTTTTATGGCTGAATGTAAGTGGTGGCCATTAGACAAAATCCGAGGCCGACCAAGGGATGGTAGGAGCACAAACCTTAAATTCTCCATGCTTGAAAAAAAAGGGATTATGTATATGCTTTGAAATATTCCCATATAAATACTAACGTAGTCTTCAAGCCAGAGAGCGAGTTGCAGCCCTCCCCGGAGGCAGTTTGGGTCAAAAGTAAAGAAATTTTTAAATTTCCATCTTAGCCAAAGGGAACGATGCCAGCTCTTAAAGTAGAAGTCTCCCCTGTGATTTGCCAGGCAGTGAGTCAGAGCAGGGGGGCCTCTGTCATTCCAGCCCCCACTGCTGTCCTTGGTGTTCATTTATTGAAATGTATTAGGAGGCCAATAATTCATAGCCTGTAATCGGGGGTATAAAAATTTTATACCTCACATTGAGTGCCACTGGGATTTTTGAGGTGTGCTGTTGGGTTAAAAAAAAAAAATTCAGCCTTAGATCCTACTCTGCAGGCACAGAGTGTATTTTGTTTTGCCCAGGGGCCATATATGTTACCATTTGGACACCTTATTCCCATGGAAGGCATTTTAAAATGGGTAGGGTTTAACTCAGGGAGTCAGGCTCTTAGGAGCATGTGTGACTACTTCCTGCAGGGGTGCACCAGCAAATGTGTGAGAGAATGTGATTTTGGCTTTGCTAACCTTTTTTCTGGCAACCACGTATGAAGGTATTCCTGTTGATTTATCGAAAAGGAAGCACTTAACAATTATTTTCTACAAAGTAAGATTTAATATCATTCTTTCTTACTGTGTTACTTTCCATCTGACTCCTTTTCTGTCAAACATTATTGTTTCCTATAATACCTTTTAAAGATTTTTTTTTCTTTCTTTTTTCTTCTGGAGGGAGTTTGTGCTTAGGACCCCCTAATATTTCTGTCCTGCTTTCAATGTTAGTCTCTTTCGTAGCTAACTGTTGCTTAGTGAACAGATGTTACCTGTAAATTGCTTTCAGTCAGTCTTGTTTTCCTGTTATATGCAATGCCTTTTCAGCTTTTTGAAACATACATGGAGATGTTTTCCATTACAAGAGAGTCCTCCATTGCTTCAGTATGGAATCTCCAGAAGGGAGTCAGGGAGTTTCAGAAAACTCACACTGGATCCTCTTCATACCTTCTATAGGGCGTGTATGTGTGTGTGTGATGGGAAATGTGCTGTCGTGTGATTCTGTCATTAAACGGGAAATGTCACATTGATGAACGGGCTCCGGAATTTCTTGTGATACTGGGTCTAGCTGGCAGGATGCCCGGCGGCCTACACCTGACGGGGACCTGCTCACAGAACATAAATTCCCTGTCAGCCTAGATCTGAAATGGCAGTCACTTTGGCAAGGTGGGTTGTTGTGTAATTTGCCACAGAAGTTACCGTTGCGCTAGTTTCTTCTGCCTCGGTTTCGCTGGTGGGGTTTCGGGGTTACTGTTTGTGTGTGGGCTCGGCTCTCCCGCTTGACTAGGAGACAGTGGTCAGAAACAGGGCCCTGGGACATTCGGGACGTCGGTCCCTTCAAGAGGGTAGGCTGAATATATCCAGTCCTGATTCTGGAACGTGTCACGAATCCAGCAGGAAGAGGTCACTTCTGACGGCTCTGGCGGCTTCTCAGGCTGAGCCTGGGCCGTGAACTGACCGGCGTGCTGGGCCTGCCGCCTCCCCATCCCGTCTCAAAGCGGATGGTAGAGGTCCTTAGAGCTCCAGGTCTGGCTTGGCTGGGGCTCCGCAGGAGAAGTGAGGCTGCCGGCCTCCGGTGCCTTCAGAGTCCGGGGAGCTCTGGACACCGAGATGAGTCAGCACAGCTCCATCCTCCGGGGGTTGGATCAGAACCTTTGGCCAGAGAGCCAGGTGTGTTTAAGAAGGTTTTGCAAAAGTTTCTCTTTGAACTTACATGAAGTATCGATGACTCTGCGGTTGACGTGAAGTATCGGTGACTCTGCAGAGCTTTCCCCCGAGCCTACCTGGATGGGTCTGGCTGATGCATCTCTGTGGTGGCCCCGAATGCTCGGTGGTGAGACGTGGGCTAGGGAGGGGGGGCGGTGTTGGAGCACAGCCACACCCACACGTAGGCTGCCGAGGTGCGGGACCGTTCAGATCACGTGCAGAGGAGACACAGGCCATTGGGTGGTCTTCATCACCAAGCCTCTCCCGTGCAGGTGGGGGAAGAGCCTCTCAGAGTTCACACCCCGCCTCCCCACCGTGTTCCCAGCGTTATTACACGGTTTAATGTTGAAGATGCTCATATGTTTTTTCAAATGAGCTGTAACCTGTTCTCAGTGCTTTGGGTAAGATAAATAGAAGTGAGTCTCATTGCAGTATTTCTCAGTATTTGTAATCGTGAACCTTATTTGGCATCTCTTAAAAAAGAACCAGTGCAAAAATGCAGTTGCTAATCATTGAAAGGACTCTAGCTTTCTAAGAAGGCTGGAATATCGGGGGAGGAGTAGGGACACACTCTAGCTTATCACCTCATTTTTCAAAAACGAAACAAACTTATTCTCCAGGTCTTAGAAACAGCCAGTTCAAAACAGCAGACTCTGAAACTCGGGATAGTGACACAGTGACCCCAGGGCCGCAGACGCCTGTCTTAAGAGTTGTTGGATTCAAAACAGTCCATTGTCTGCAGTCACACTGATGGGCCATTGTTGAATATTGGGGGTGGAAACCTGGGGAGGAAATGGGAGGGATTTTGCTTCCAAGTTACGCACTTGTCTGTCCGGGGAGGTGTCCCTTCTTGGCAAGCAGAGTCCGTCGCCACGCTGCTGTATGGTGGATCGGAGCCTTTTAAATGTTCAGTGTCTCTACTTGCTTAATACTTTTACAGTACATTTTGTAAAGTGTTGGTCTTTTGTTGCCATAAGCCTTGTGAAGCCTGACAGGATATTTTCCCATTTTTTCAGTTAGAGCAATAGAGGAAGTTGTCGTGTAGTTGTCATGTGCTCAGTGCACTTGAGGGCAGTGGGGAAGCATATGAGACGGAGCTGTGGAGTCTGAATCCTTGAAGCAGGAGGTGAGAGAGGCACAGGTGAGCGCAAAGCCCCGGTGCATGTTCCCTTCTCCTTCTGTGACTCGGTGGGTGTCATCGCCCCAAACGAACCCTGCCAGGGCAGGGCGACCCGCCCCTCTACCTGATGGGAGTTTTACTGCTCCAAGTCTGGTGTATATTTGTAACTTTCTGTTTTGAAATAATTGCAGACTTTGACGCCAAAGTTGCAGGAATGGTACAAAGACCCCTCTTGTATCTGCCACGCGAGTCCCCTGCTTTTAACATTGTGCCATGTTTGCTTTAACGTCCTCCCTCCTTGTACCTACCTGTGTGCAAACTATTTTCTGAACTCTTCGAGAACGAACTGCCGGCACGATACTCCTTTGCTCTTAAATTCCTCAGCGTGTCCTTCCTAAGAATAAGAGTATTCTCTCGTGCAGCCACAGAGTGATTAGCAAGATTGGGAAATTAACAACGTGGCAGTACTGTCGTGTCGTCTGTGGGTCTTGTGCAGACTTTGCCAGTCGTCCCAACAGTGTGACATTGTGTCCTCCTCCGTGCATCGTATCGGGAGGCACTGGGCGTCAGTTTGTCCCATTCCTGGGACTCTGGTCAGAGGTGGTGTCCTCCACTACAAAGTCAGTACTTTTCCATTTATCATAGAAGGAAAGTGTGTATAAATGAGGAAGAACTTCCCTTTCTCCCCTGTGTTTACTTCGTTTGTCAACTTTAGTTCATGGGTCCGCGTTTAGTTCAGCAGCTTATTATGTGTTCCTCTCGATACTTAATGCTCAGATTGTCACAGATTTGGCCAGTGGCAGCCCCGTGGTGCGTCTCCACCATGTCATTAGGCATTAAAGTGCTGCAGCAGCCTAGGCACACGTAGAGCACGTAGTGGGACAAAACCCAAGGGTCCAGAGAAGTGGTGGAGCTCTGGGATCCGTTGCTGGATGACCTGCAACCATACGGTGTCCTGGCTCCATAGCTCCCCATGTCCAGCTCTGTGAGATTCCGGGGAGGGAGGGCGAGGGCTCTCGGGGAACACCGGGCAGCCAGGGACGTCAGTGGGGAAACTGCATCTCTCTCTGGGGCTTTCTGAAGAGGGCAAGCAGCTGGCTGGGAGCCGCGGTGCAGCAGCATCTGTGTGTGTTGCAGCAGCTGGCACCTTGATGCCTCCTCTTGGTGGCCAGCTTTCCTGTTGTTTTTGATAGCCTCTGCTGGCTTCTTTCGCAATTCAGAAATTGCGTGAGTGCAAGTCCAGGTCCCGTCTGCTGGAGGGAGCGTCAGCAGGTGTGGGCTCCGGTCCCCTGCAGGCGTGGGATGCCCTGTGCTCACCGCAGGTTCTTGGGGATGGTGTCCAACTGGATGGGATTCTTGGCCCTGGCTGGGGTTGCAGTCTGAGGCCATGGAGAGGGTGCTAGACCCTTGAGAACGTGAAGACACGTGCTCTTGGGGTGGTCAGCCCCGTTCTCTGACCAGCGTGCCCCGGCTCCCCCCTGCCCCCAGTACCGAGGCTAGGATCACTCGCCTTCTTGCCTTGCCATCAGCGTGTCCAGCCTAAGGCACTCTGTGCTCAGATAGGCTGCCCTTGGTTAGCGGTGGCACGGGGATGTCCTGGTGGGGGGCTGCAGTGGACAGCGGCACGCGATGCTAGGACAGGCTCTCTAGAAGGGCCAAGAAGGAGATGAAAACCCTTTCATTGTTTGATCACAAGAGACAGTGTATCTTTTGTTCACACTGCCTGCCTCCTACTTCTGTCTCGGGCGTGTGCAGGCATGAATTGACCGAACGACATAGAGGGAAGCGTAGCCC